CAGCCCTATAAGTTGATAGTAAAAGTTTCATTTTCCCACTTTAATTCAGTTTTTAAAATATTTATTAAGTTCCCTTTATTTGTAGGTCACTGTACTAAAAGTGGAAAAGGGAAAAATTTAACTATTCTCTTCCTTCAAAGAACTTATATTTTACATGGATAATACAATATGTACATAAATAGGCAAAGGAATTGGTGATAGACTAGAGCTCACAAGAGAGATGTGCATATGTTTTCGTCTGTGTATTGTGTGTGTGTATATATATATATATCCATGTCTATATACATATACACATACATACGCATATACCTATAATACAAAACAGAGATATTTTATATATACACAATATATATTTATACATGTACGTATATGCACATGCACACAAATGTACACACAGGTGTATTCATGTGTATATGTGTATTTGTGTGTTACATTGTAAATATATGTATATATAAACAGGTAGGTGGATGATAGATAGATATGTGTAGAGATGATAATTGCTCCCATTGGGACTAATGGAAACCTAACAAAAAGTATAGAGTCGAGATGAAGGCCTGAAGCTTTGGAGGACACTAACTTTTGGAAGATGGGATAATGATCCAACAAAATGGATTAAGAAGGAAATGGTCAGGTAGCTATGAGGAGAAGCAAGATGGCATAGTGTCATTGAAGTCAAGAGGAGGATCTATTCAAGAAAAGAGGGATGGAGGACAGTGGCAGTAGCTGGACAGAAGTCAAAGGAGATTAGGACTGAAAAGGGCCATTGGATTTACCACTTAAGAGGTCCCTGGTAATCTTGAAGAGGCCAGTTTCAGTAGAGTAATGGGGTTGGAAGTAAAAAGTGAAGGCGAAGAAAGGAAATGGGAGATTACAAGATTCACAAGTGTAGATAACTCTTCTTTTAGGGAGTTGTGAAAATGAGACTAGATATAAGATGATAACTTGATGACATGGCAAGGAGAAGGTTGTTTGTAGACAGCAGGGAGGCAGCTGGTGAATAAGGGGAGACTGAAGATGAAAGAAAAAAAGAGAATGATTGAGGAGGAAAATTCCCAGAGGTTATTAGAATGCATAGGATCAAGGGCACAAGTAGATGGGTTGGTCTTGACTGAAAAAAATGGGTTATGTCTTCATCAGATTGGATCAAAGTAGATGAGGATGGGGAATAGTATGTAGGGGTATTGAAGAATAGAATAGGAATAAGATGGAGTTTATGATGGGTTGCTTCAATTTTCTGACAAAGTAGGAGTTGAAGTCCTTGGCTGATGGATAGATAGTAGTGTGGAACTAGAGGAGAGAAAAGAAAGTCAGGAGTGGATGCTGTGAGGATCATACTATAGGGTTAATCAGGCTAGCATAAATGGATTGTCTTGTAGCATGCTTTTTTTTAAGACAAGCTTTACTGATTTTTTTTAAACATCATTTTCATTTCCACATACATTCCTCTCTTCCCACCCTGTCCAAACATGCATAACTGAATCCTCCCTTGTAATAAAGTCAGCAGATATAGCGATAACATCTGACAGTGTAGATAACACTCTCCTTCTGTATCCCCACCCCCACTCCCCATCCCTTGAACAGAAAGGGAATTATATTTTGTTGTCTGTTTGCTGGATCGACCATGACATTTACTCGGAATTTGGATTCCTTTTTAGTATTCTTTCCAAATACATTATTGTGGTCATTGTGTACAAGGTTGTCTGGATTTGCTTGTATCACTGCATCAATTAATACAAAACATCTATGGTGCAGTGGAAAGAACGATTGCTCTAAATTAGAAGAGCTGGATTCAGTTCCCACTTATCTGAATTTCCTGCGTGACCTTGGACAAGTTGTTTAATCTCCGTGGAGCCTTTGTTTCCTCATGTATAAAATTAAGGGTTGGATTAGATGGTCTTCTGAGGTCCTTTCCAGCTCTTGACCTATGATTTGGTGATGCCCAATTTCTCTAAACTCTTCATATCCATAATTTCTTACTACACAATAATATTCCATTTTATTACATTCCATTTCATTACATTCATATACCACAAATCCTTCAGTCAATTGAAGGACATCTACCTTGTTTCCATGATTGTGCTACCACGACAGTACTGCTCTGAATATTTTGGTATATATGGAACATTTCTTTTTGTCTCTACCCTCCTTTAACCTGTCTTTAACTACAATTCCCAGTAGTGAGATCACTGAGTCCAAAGGCATGAACTAAGCTATATTTTTCTTTTTAAATTCTGAATTTTTTTTTCAGAACGGTTGGACTAATTCAGATCTCCACCAACAGTGACGTTCTGTGTCTGTTTTTACTATGGTGCCTCTAACAGTGAACATCTTTTATAATCTTTGATAATTTGATAGTCATGAGATGAAACCTTTGTTGTTTTTATGTGCATGTCTCACTAGTGAATCAGAACCTTTTTCATGTGGATAGGTTCAAGTAGTTAATTTGAAATTCTTCTTTTGGAACTGTTCTTATCCTTTGCCCCCTTATAAATATTTTTGATGATTCCCTATATAATTTGGATATCAATTTATTATTAAAGATACTTGATGCAAAGTCTCCCCTTCGCTTCTTTTAGCAGCATTGATTTTTATTAGTCCAAAAATGGAAACAATCCTTGATATCAAGAAGCTTATGTCTTATCAGAGGAAATGGCATATACGTAAACAAGTATATTTAAAATAAATACAGGATAAGTGTTTTTAGAAGAAGATCCTAGAACCTGCAGGAACCAGGAAAGGCCTCAGGTAGGAGGTGATACCTGAACAGTTTTGAAGGAAACAAAGGATTCCCAAGGGTAGAGGTGAGGTTGGAATGCATTCCAGCCATGGTTAAAGCTAACCCGAAGGTGTAAAGATAGAATATGGAGTATCATGGAGAAGAGAAAACCAATGGTTGAGGTAATCCAGGGTTGGGGTAAGTCTAGATGTAAGTGGCAATAGGACAAGAAGACAAGGGATGTGAAAATAGGCAAATAGTTGAACTAGAGAACCATAGTGTCAGGATTGTGAAGGGAGGAAAGTGAGTCCAGGGCAGGGATCATAGGGTCAGAGATCTAAAGCTATAAGGGAATTCAGAGGTCATCTTGTCCAGTTCCTTTAATTACAGATGAGGAAATTGTAGCTTAGGAAGGTTTAATGATTTGCCCCAGGTCACACAGTTGTTATTAGAAATAGGATTTGAACCTTGGGTCTTATTCCAGAGACAGTGTTCTGTTTACGGTGACAGATCAGGGAATAGTATAGATGGCATGGTAAGGATGCGGCGTGGAGGAACGAGGCAGGATGGGGAAGAATAGGGGGTTGTGATTAAAAGGAGGAATTTTACAGTTCTGGATCATGGAGTTAGCATAGTTATGGGTGTAATAACAAATGCTCATGGGTTGATTGATTGATGATGATATCCGAAGTATAATCATCCAAGTGCGGGGCTTTGGTGGAATGATGCAGTGAGTAATGGTTGAAGAAGCTGGTGGCTGGTCAGGATGGTTAATGTTGCATTGACTTATATATTGGTATCCTTAGGAATGAGGGAAGGATTTGGGGTAGAGGAGTAGATTGTGAATCTGGTGTTGACTGACTCCTTGAGAAAGAAAGGAAAATGACCTGGGCATCGATAAATTAGGCCAAGGAGCTATAGCCGGATTAAGTAAACCTCTAAGAAATGAAATATCTGCACAAAGATGACAAAAGGGACAGCCTGGGAATAGGAATAGTAGAATCAAGGATAATAGGATTCTTCCTACTTCTCCTGGTCTAGTGTGTTAAGGGATATGAGACAAGGAACTTCAAGTCCTAAAGAAGGATAGTGAGGGATGCAATATCTTCAGGGTAGGCCAAGTTATTCAGTACCAGGAGATGGCAAGAAATGGAGGTGAAGGCATCTAAGATAAAAGAGAGTTTGATAACAATGGAGTGAGAGTGACAGAGAGCACAATGAAAGGGAAGAGCAGAAGAGGATATGTTCTAGGGAAGGATAGGTTTAGGTGGATTGGGGAGAGGAAGCAAGGGGAAAAGATTTTTACCTTTGAATCACAGGGAGAAGGGGACAAAGAACCAGAAGATTGATCAGGGCCCCTGTCCTCTAGGATCCTGCAAAGACTGAATATGTTGTTGGGGGGCGGGAGTGGCATTAGCCACTCTAAACGCAGGGGAATCAGGGATGACAGCCAGGTAGAGGTGCCAGGGGGTTGGTGTTCTCATTTTTTTAGGGTTAGGCTGAATGCATATTCAGTGTCAAGCCTATAGTTTCATCCTGAGACATTGAGACACAAGCTACAAGCCCTCAGCTCTCGGTCATTGAATTCCTCTCTCCCTATCCCACTAGTTCTTTTTGGAGCCCTGGGTTTCCCTGTTGCTTCTAATTGGAAATGATTTCTCCCTTGTCTGACCTCATCTCTCTGCATTCCTCTTACCTATTAATGATATTATACATCATTATTATATAATATATGATAGTATATGTTATAATTATCTATGTACAAATCCCCTTTACTGGAGTGTAAGTTCCTTGAGGTTAAGCATCACATCTTATTCATGTGGCATCTCTCTCAGTACCTGGTGCAGTGTCTTCAACATAGTAACCATGCCAAAAAAGTTGTCAGTGAATTCAGGGTTTTCACTAATGCATATTGCCTTTTCTACCTGTTCCATTTTGATGTCTTTAGGCATCTCTCTAGTATGACATTGTGATTTATCACAATACCTTTTCTCTTTAACGAGAGTAACAAGTTACGCAGCTTTTAAAAGTGTATGGAATATTAAAAATTAAAAACTTAAAAAAATCTTACTTAAAAACTTAGAAGCCTAAATGTTTTCATTGCTCATCCTAGGGATGAGCAAATTACTTCCTTTCCCTAGCTGACATGAGGCCCTTTGGAAAATTTGACCACCTATACATTTTGTATATCATCAGGGAAGGATTTTTTTTTTATGTAGGTGTAGGTTATGTTTTAACTTCTAAGATACAGAAAAAGAAATAACAATATATCATTTATTTCCAGTACATCAAGACTTTCTACAATGATACCTGGGAAAAAAGACAAGGCCACTCAATAGATAATAGTACTCTAACACTGCTATGGTCTGTGACTGTGTCGATTTTTGCTATTGGTGGCCTAGTGGGCACAATGATGGTGATTTTGATTGGAAAAGTTCTTGGAAGGTAAGAATTGGGCTAAGTAAGCTGCTTCTTATTGCTCATCTAACAAACTCATTAAACAGCATATAAAGTTATAGCATGTGACCCCTTCTCCTAAAAAATCATACTGTGATGTCTCATTATTGGCAGAGTTTATTTCATCATGTGGCAAAGGGCAATAGGAAACATTATTTCATGGATACTTAGTCATCACACGCATATATGTATATACACACATATATGTATATTTATGTATAGGTGTGCATATATATACACACATGAACATATATATACATATTTGTAACGTATGTCCTATGTACATGTTATTTATATGTTTTATATACACACACATACATATGGCTTTGGCAACCCTAAAGTGCTTTATAAGTTATTGTTACTGTGGTTGTTGTTTTGTACCATGCTCTTCTAATAGGCACTGTCACATGCATAGCATCAGGTCACTCTCACGGTGCTCCCGATTACTTGGCCACCACTGGAGTCCAGGCCATGTCATAGCTATTTCCCCGATAAGCCTGGGAAAACTAAAACCTCCCCCAAAAGTCAGCATCAGCTTCCTCCCCCACTGCTGGCTCTTTATAACAGTCTAGAGTCTTAAACATAGAATCACGGACTTGTAGGTTCAAAGGGACCCTAAAGTTCCAAAGTCCGGTGTATCTTTGAATACAAAGCTCTACAGTATTCTTGAAAAATGGTTCTCAGGTCTTTGCTTGAAGACCTCCAGTGAGGTGGAACTCACTACTGCCTGACAGGTAGACCATTCTGCTTTTAGATAGCTCTAATTCTTGGGAAGCTCTTCCGTTTGTTGAGCTGAAATTTGACTCTCTGGAACTTGCAATGCATTGCCCCTTACTCTACCCTCTATGTCTAAACATACTCACCTTAAGAAGCCCTGCCTAATGCCCTGGCATCATGGTAAATTTACTGGCCTGTTTTGTAGCAAATAGTCTAGCTCCACATCACTAGTATTCACTTGATAGTGAAGTTATATAGTGGCAAGCTCAAATACTTTATATATTCATGGAATTTTAGAACTGGAAGAGGCCTTAGAGCTTATCCAGTCCAACTGTCTGATTTTATTGAAATGGAAGACCGAAGAGTTGAGTTAACTTGCTCAAGGCTATACATTGTTTGTGTCAAAGCCAGGACTGGAACCTGGGTCTCTTGACTCTGAGTCTTGTTCTTAACTCTCCTCCATCTTGCTTTCTTTCCCTTGATTTGTCAAATACTGAGTTGCTTGGCACTATAATGCAGAGAGGTGAGTAGAATGCCTTGATACAGCTATGTTCTGATGATACCTCTCTCTTCTAGGAAATGTGTGTTATTAGTCAACAATGCATTTGCCATTTTAGCTGCAGTGCTTATGGCTTGCTCACGTCAAGCAGGATCCTTTGAAATACTAATCCTGGGTCGGTTCATCATGGGCATTGATGGAGGTGAGATGGCTATTTGTATATTTTATTGATTCTGCTAGCTATGGAAGATATCCTACCAAAGTATGTGGCCATTAGCAAAGTCATGACATCCTCTGCGTCTTCATTTTTTCATCTGTACATTGGAAGTTAATAATCTTTACACTACTTACCTAAAGAACTGTTGTACAAAGAAAATGCTTTATAAACCTTAAAGTGCAATAGACTTTACAGGACTGAAAGTTGGAAGCAACCATAGACATCACTTAGTCTGATCCTTTCATTTTACAAATGAGGAAACTGTGACTTAGGTGAAGTGACTTGCTTACGATGACTCATTAATAATTGGTGAAGTGAGGACTTGAAAATGACTCTTCTGACCCTCAAGTCCAGTGTTCTTTCCCTTATTATGTGTATACTCCTTATTATTGGGATATGGAATGGAGCGGCACGAAAAGAATCCCTATTAAAGTTCAATACTTGGTCAGCTTCAAGCTAAAATGAGACGTTGCAATAATGTTAGGACAAAGTCTCCAGAGGCAGCCAGTCATTTGTAGAAGGCATTTTTCAAGCTATAAAATCCTTTGCTTTATCAGCTTTTTCAGTCCGCTTAAACCTTCAGATATTCTATAGTGCCCAGAGGGCTCGCGGGTAGTTTTATTTCCTGTCTGAATAACTTTCCCTGTACATTTATTATAAAGAAGATGAAAAGAAAATTCCTTCAAAGCACCATTCTTGTTTAAATGTGTGATTCTTCCCTTTTGTTGGACAGTGCCACATTTTGGCAAGGCCACTAATAAATGCTCTAGTATCTCTAGAGGCAGGTGACCAGGATGGCTGAAGAGACTGCAGACTGGGACATGAGGATGATTAATGTAGGTAGGGCTGCTCAGACCAGGAGGAGAGGACTTGATGAAGGGTGGAGAGGCTAGACGTCATCTTCACTTTCACATATTTGCAGAGCTGCTGTGTAGAAGAAGGAAGTGAACTTATTCTATGTGGTTCCATAGGGCTAAACTACAATCAATCTACTACACACACAGGGGCAGATTTTAGCATAAAATAAAGAAGGAAGGACTTGGTAGCTTTAGAACTGTTCAATAATATAAATCACTGCCCACGGAGGTAGTGAGCTCCCCATCTCTTGGTAGAAGCTAATAGGTTACCTGTTAGTTGTTGCAGAGGCATTTCCTACATTGGGTGGAAAGTTTAATTAGACCAGTGGGATCAAACTTAAATAGAAACAGGGTCACTTAACTGTATATAAGGATCCCTTGGGCCACATATTAAATTAGAAAACTACACATTAATGTTATCTGTTATATTGTGTTTTTATTTATTTTGTTAAATATTTCCCAATTACAGTTTAATTTGATTCAGCCTCCTTAGGGAGTGTTGGCTGAGGCCCACACAGCCACATGTTTGACACCTCTGAATTAGATGATCCTTCAGTTTCCTCCTTGATTCTATGATTCTCTTCTTCTGTTGTTAATGGCCCCCTTTTGCATCCCATTAAGCATCTTACATAATGCCTTTGCTGTCTAGTTTGGAAACCTAGCTATTTTGGGGACTTGTATGCTTCTCACACACAAACTGGTAGCCGTCTTTCTTCCTTCAGAAATAAGCTTGGCTTAAAGATAGATGTGGTTATGAAACTAAAGATTCCAAACAAATACCTTGGCATGCATTGTTCCCAGGATGTATTAATAAAGAACTGTGAAAGAAAGGGAAAGTGACTGGAAAACAAACTTATCATTCCTCTACACTTCCAGAACATTTTAGATTTTCATAACTTTACACATTATGCTGTTAAATCTTACTAAATCTCTGCGAAATGGAAGAAATAACTTTTTTCTCCTACAAATCAGGAAATTAAAACTTTACACATTGAAATTATTGGCCACATTCTAGGAAAATGTATCTAGGAATTAAGACTATAATGTAACAGAACCAAAGACTGTTAGAATCTCAGAATAGAAGGAACCAGAGAAGTGGTCCATTCTATATCCCCCAGCCCTACCACCTGCATCATAATCCCCTCCACAGCATCTCTCTACTTAACACTTAACAGAGAAAAGAAAGTGTAGTCCAATGGAAAGAACCTGAATTCAAATTTTGTCTGTGCAGCTTACTACCCATATGACCTAAAGTATATTACTTTTCCTCTGTAAAGTGAAGAGGTGGAACCATTGGTGTCCAAGGTCTCTTAGCACTGAATCTGATGAAGTGATTTGTGGAGTAGCCGATCCCATAATTATAAACATTTGTACAATGAGCCAGAGAAGGAAGTGACAAGCCACTCTGGTATCTTTGCCAGGAAAACCCCAAATAGGGTCACGAAGAGTCGAGCATGACTGGAATGACTGAATGACAAGCATAAAGAAGTTCTCTCCTATATTGAATAGAGATTAGCCTTGCTTTACTTCCATCTTTTCTAGAGTTTTACCTTCTGGGGTTAAGCAGAATGAAGGAGACTGGAGGAATACTTGTTAGGGTTCATGCTTCAGGTCTGACTTGGACTAAATGACTACCATCTAATCCAAGATGCCATCTAACTCTGAAATTCTGAGATTTGATGACTGGGACCCAGTGGAATCTTTATCCAGGTGTCTATTCCCTGTTCTTCCTGGTGGCTAAAAGAAAGTAGCTAAGTCTCATTAATAATCATTTTCTTTCACAGGCATTGCTCTCAGTGTCCTCCCTATGTATCTGAATGAAATCTCACCCAAAGAGATCCGTGGATCTTTGGGACAGGTCACTGCCATCTTCATTTGCATTGGAGTATTTGCTGGTCAGCTCTTGGGCCTGCCTGAAATACTGGGACAGGTAAGTGAAATATCTTTTCTTTGTCTTGTGTAGAAGCATTTTGGATACCAACAGTGCAAGGGGCTACCTCAGGAGGCATTGTGCTCCCCATTGCTGGAGGTCTTCAAGCAGAGACTGTATAAACAGTTCTGAAAAATCTACCTTTGGTGACTATTTGTCACCCACCTCTCACTTGTAGCTCCAAGCAGTTGTAGCATGTGCAGCAGCCACACTCTGGTAAAACTATCATGGCAGATGGGTTAGACCAAGTTGAGGGTAACTGACAGGCCTCAAACCAATTGGTGAGTTAGGGGAATGTCTACCCCAAGCTTGTGAAAACTTCCCCCAGAAGAATAGATGGATGAGAAGAATTTGTTGCAATGGCCATGAAGATGGCTGAAGCAGGCACTGTGCAGTGCTGAGCTTGGTCAGACATTGAAGACACCAAATTCATCTACTGAATCCCAGGCCATCACCAGTTGTTGTCTTGACTTTTGTCCTATCATCGGACTTTGACGACTCTGGAAGAGAGTGTGAAGCTGATGACCCTGTGCAACTCTGCCTCACTTAAATCCAATCCACACACAAGTCAAGACATCACCTGTGATGTCATTGGTCCTCTTTGAAAACTAAGGACAAATAACAGACAACAGGCAGAGATCGTATGGGATGTTGAAAGTATCATGCTGGGGTATATGTTAATCTAGATATCCACTAAGGTCTTGTTCAACTCTGAGGTTTTATGCTTTTGATTGGAAAGGAGGAAAACTGGTCATGTTGGCAGGAGAGGTAACAGATAACCCAAGTGCTATATTAAAAAATACTAAAATAATAAGTGAATATAAGAAATATTACTTATACCAGCTCTTCTTAAAGAAATTAGCCACTAAGGGGATGCCCATCAATTGGGAAATACTGGATGGCATATGAATGTTAATGGAATTCTGTTATGACTTAAGAAAAGACAAAATGAATAGCTCCAGGAAGGCTTGTATAAACTCATGTCTAGTAAAGTGAACAAAAAACCAGGAGAACTGGTTTATTTATTTATTTATTTATTTAGTTATTACTATTCTAAAAATGGCAATAACATGGTAAAGACAAACAACTTTGAAAGGCTTAAGAACTCTGATCAATGCAGTAATCAACAACAGCTCCAAGGGATTGATGATGAAGAATGCTGCCTACCTCCTGATAGAGAAATGGTGGCCTCAAATTGTATATTAGACATTAATTTTTACATGGCAAATGTAGGAATTTGTTTTACTTGACTGTGTGTATCTATTAGAAGAGATTTAAAAAAATTTTAACAGGGGGGTAGGGGGAAGGAGAAAATAAATGCTTGTTTGTTGAAAAAAATTTAAGGTGTTAAAAAAAGGCAAAAAAAGAGGAAGAAGAAGGTTTCTAGCATGTTGGATGGGACCTCTATGGAATATCTTTAGAAAGATGTGGACAGGAGTTACATGGAATAAAATGTGGAGGGATGGCAATCTTCGTTGGAAGAGGGAGAGCCCACATAAAGGAAATCATATATCCATTAAAATGTGAACTATGTCTTTTCTATGCCATTGTACTGTTTCCATGAAACCATCCTTAATTTCCTAAGGAGGAAATCATCTCTCTGACATCTGATCTCATCGCATTTTGACTCTTCTTATGCAATGATCATATTCTAATTTGTATTATAGCAATTTGAGGCATCTGTCTTATCTCCTCCTCTTGGGCAGGGATGATGTTTTCTTTATCTTTGTATCATCCTCAGGGCTAATTCAGCAATGGACTATGCTGCTAGTAGGTACTTAATGAATAGTGACTGAAAGTATGGGTAACAAATGGGAGTTATATTGAAAGATGGCATTTCTATTTTAGCATCGCTTTATCAGATGCTGAGACAGTCTAATAATTTATTTTTAGCTTTTACAAAAGAATCTACTTCAAAAGTATAGCAAGAAACAACAAATGTTTTTCCCCAGCACCTGGGGGCATAATCCCTCTTACACTCCTTCCAGTTTCTGGGAAGGAGAGGAGGATTCAATTCGTGGTTTAGCTCAGATTTTATAAAGCATAGTCTCACCAATTTCCAAGTCCAAAGCCCTCCCCAGGCTTGCATCCCAGCTCCTTGGCTTCTCGGGGCTTCCCTACCAACCTGACAACAACATCCCAACCTGGAATCCTGGCTGACCTCAAAGGTCACCATGGCTCAATCTCCTGGGTCCCTAGACTCCACTTTCCAAGCCTAGAATGGAAAAGGACAACTGAAATAGAGCAAGATCCCAATCCCCTTTCTCAGGGCCCATGTCTTAAACGCAGAGTGGGAAGATAGCTGTTGCCCCACACCTACCTTCTTGCATGGTGCCCATGCTTCAGATGAACAGGACCTTCACATCCTGGATGGTACCAGAAAGCAAGCAAAAGATATTTTGAAGTGGTCCATGGGAGAACTCTTCAGAAACCTGAATGAGGAATTATTGTGACTGTTAAAAAAATAGTTGACTCAATTCTATTTTTTATGAATCTATAATATCTAGATTACTGGGCTAAATGCCAAAGGATGATATAATATTTAGATAAGACTAGCCCTATGGTATTTAGAATATTCTTCAGTCCAGAGTTCTTCAAGAAGAAACCATGCAATGCAGCTGAGGGAACTAATGAACTAGCTATATTTAGAAAAAGACTTAAGAGGTCATCTAGTCAAAGCCCATCACTTTTCAGATTGGGAAACTGAGGCCCAGAGACAGGAAGTGACCTGCCCAAAGTCACATAGGTAATAAATGCCACATCTGGAACTTAAACTCAGGTCTCAGATTTTGAGTTCATTGAGACAGTTCAGGGATCTTTCTACTGTACCACACTGCTCTATGACCTATAAGGTATCTTTTAGCTCTAAATCTATGGTTTCCTGATGTCTCCTTGTGGCTTGGGGGTGACCCTGGGTTCTTGAAGACTCTACCGTCAGAGCATAAGCTTTGGAAAGTCCTACCAGTATGGAAAGATTTCACAGATGGGACTGATGATATAATGGTATGCCTATTGTCTAAGGACAAGCCAAATTAAGTTTGATAAGGTTCATCACCACCATGACTCATTTTTTTATGAACAGCAACTTAAAGATGGACTGCTAAGGTACAGATGTCCTAAAACCTGGATGATGGAAGGAAAGCTCTAGATGACATCATAGATATTGGAATGGTGAAGTGTAGGAATAATAGGCTGGATACAGGAGGACAGGTTCCACTATATCAGGGGATTGTTTGGGTTTCCTTCTGACTCTTAGGCCTATCCTGGGAGTTTGTAACAGGGTGGGGAGCCCTCAAAATAGGACCATAAGCTGGTCAGCCTTATTATATATGGATGGACTCTTGTTGCTGTGATTGTCTTTATGTAAATTGTAAAATGTGCTTAGCCTGAGAGTTTCGTGTCATCTCTCCCTGGAAATGGCAACTAGTTCTGTGCACTTCATTCATTTCAATATTTTCTCCTTTGGATTTCCCTTTCACTTTGCTCAGATGGTGGAACATCTCCATTAATTTGAAAGAGTGCAGCAGGCCAAGTGATGGGGTCTTAGGTTTTCTTCCATGCCATTGCCTTGGGAAGCTTTTCAGTTCTTTTAGACTTTTTCACTCCTTTCAAGGCAGTTCTCTTCTTCAAGTATTGCTTTTGGGCACCTTGAAAAGTCATTTTGAAACATTCAAGTGCAGCTCCTATATTAAACTCCATTTTGTAAAATTCCAGATCCATTTATAGGGCCTTACTTGGAGAAAAACATGCATAAGAAAATTATTCTACTATACCTTGTATACCAGGGACAGGCAGATTTGAATATTTACTAATTCTAAAGAAATTATTTATCTTTCGTAACTTGGGAACACGATCAACCAAACCAGCAAGAATTTATTGTGTATCTCCTATAATAATCATAACTCACATTTCTATTAGCACCTTAAGGCTTGTTTATAAAGTACTTTCTTCATAACACCCCTGTGAGGTAGGTAGGGCAAATCTGACAGTCCCTTTCAGATGGGAAAAAACTGAATCCTTGAGAGATAAAGTGAATTATACTAGTTCCGTTTCAGAGGTGGAATTGGAACTCCGGTATTCTGATTTCAAGCCACTACACCACACTGGCTATTTCTATCTAATACTACAAGGGAGACAAGAAAGTGATGATAGTGTACTTTCTCTTAAAGCCCTTACAATTTTAATGGGAAGATGAGAATAATGCATATCAATAAGTTAGTGGTTTAAACAGAGGAGTAGGGGCAGCTAGGTGGAGGGCATTTTGAATTGTTTCTTTTTCCTAAAACATGGTGGCTGCATCTCCCATTTCCATCCTTTGCAAAGGCTGTCTCCCCTGTCTGGAATTCTCTGTTGCTATTCTTGTGCTTCCTGAAATCCCTGGTTTCTTTCATGAATCATCTCAAGTGAGGTCTCTCCTGGTACCCTGTTATCCTAGCAGCTAATGCCTTCTCTCTTTCTTGTTTCTGATTTGTTTATGTCTTGCTACACCTACATATGTATAGATTGTCTTCTTCATTAAGATGTAAGGTCATTGAGGATGAAGACTTTTTCCCTTTTGTCTTGGTAGCCCCAGTACTTGACATAGTAGTGCCTGATAGTAAGTGCTTAATACATGTTTGTAGATTGAATGCTTCCTTCCTGATTCCAAAGTCAGTTATGCTAACCACTGGTTAAGGTTGTCTCTCCATATATCTTTATATTTTTCATTCATTCCAGGTGATTTGGGAGGGATTTTTGTTTCTAGTCTTTTATTGCTATCGTGTAAGTCAGTTACTAATATTACAAAAACCAATAATATTTTGTAATTTCACCTGGCATATACAAAATAAACACCATAATTAATTGGACTTTAAAAGTAGGCCTTGTCTAAGTGAAAACTCAGAGGAAAAAGGTCTTCAAGTCTATCTCTTTTGGTTTTGATGAAAAAAAACTCTTAAGCTTTGTTTTAAATAAAAAAAAACTTTTAAAAACACTACTTGGGTGACACACACAAAAATAAC